AAAGGCCCATAGGCATGTAAATAACCGACAACTTTAATTGTTTGTTGATCTCATTTGTTTTTTTTACCCCTTTTAACTAGTAAATCAGTAGCTACACTCCCAATAAATCAGTAACAAAAAGAATAGTGTGTAGTTTGCTGGTCAGCTTTTATCGCTTCTTTCGCTTATCGCACACTGCAAAGTGTAGTGGCCACTTGAGAAAAGCAGCCCGTAAAAAAAACTAAACTCGAGTGGGCCAAAATGATGACAATAAAATAATTACACTCTTATCGCCCACTAAAAGTGGGGGAATAAATAGAGGGAAGGCGGAATTGAGTCGGTGAGATAAACAGTGTTGCCAAATATTAAAAATCCTATATAAGCCATAAAAACTAACCTTCAGTAAGTATCTAAAAATATCTCCCAAATTAAAAAAAATACAGCAGTTTATTACTGTCAATAATAAAAATACATAATCTATCTTTATGTATGTTTTATACGCATAGTAAAAAAAAATAATTCTAACTTTGAATGAGGTCAATATAATTATTTTAGTACTTAGTGTGTCACATTCATTAAAAAAAGTTGATTTAAAAAAAAAAGGTGTTTTTTTATAAACAGAGTTTCCAAACTTTCTTTTTATTTGTTTCTTTTTAAATTGAAATTAATTTAGGTTGCTGTATTTATTTGAAATTGTTTCTAGTTTAGACTAGGTTTACTAAAAATTCTATTGTGAGTAGGTTTGTAAGTTGGTTACTTCCAAGGGTAATGACAAAGGTTTGTTAGCCGTTATAAATCTATAAAATACTTAAATTTAAATAAATTTCTCGATAAAATCCTAGTGATTTTCATTGGTTTAAGAGATTTTGTTTAAAACAATTTTATTTTACTTACAACTGGTTAGGAACTTCTGATTCAAATATTTTAAAACGAGAATGGCTATAGCCTGGCAACACTGATAGAAAGTAGTGTGGATACTGTTCAGGTATGGGGCTTAAGTCCGAGGTGCGAAAATTTGCTTACCTTATTCGGGTGGTGGCTAGTGTTCGCCTCGTTACGTCTCATTGACTCCATACAGACGCAAACGATCGGGCGGCCGCACTGCGCGGGCGGCCCAAAGTACTACCTGTAGTGCCTAGGAACGTGCAGCCGGCGGTGGAGTTGTTGCTCAAATGACTTGGACTGGTGCTGCGGTTGTAGCTGGCGCAGATGCGGATGACCCTGCTGGTGGGTGGCGATGAACTGGGACGCTGCCTTGTGTGACGAATTGTCGACTTGTTATCCAGGCAACAACGCAGGGAGACACAGGGCCTCGGCCCTCGGGCCAAATGGTTCATTTTCAAAACTGCAAATAGAGCAAGAGAGATATTCCATCGATTAAAATATGCAATGTGTCAGATATACGGCTAACGCTACAATGAAAGGAACTGCCATCCACTCGATCGAGTGCTCGAAGAGATTAGAGCCTTGTCGCTCTTTCAAGTGCTCAATTCAATTGCCCCGTTATCGCCGATCGCCAATCGACGTGTTTGAGGTTAAACTATAAAGCATGGACGACTGTGATTTACATGCACTGTTGCGTTGGATCATAATATATATAGAGACGGTATAGAGTAGATCGAGGGGAGGTGGCGGGCCGGGAGACAGACCCCTTAACGACCTGGTAATTAAAGCACTTTTGCACAATTTACTGATACTGATAACGAATAACTGGTACGAGTACTCCTACCACCACCGATCTCAAGTGCCACCGAATATGGAGTATATGATTTAAACATGTGCGCGAGCGAGCACAGTAGCAGTTGCCGTTCCGATTTGCGATTAGATAACGTGTCAGCGCCGACGTCTCTGGGAATTCTACTAGAGTTTGTACACCTCTCTGCCACCCCGAGAACGTTGACGTCATCGTTGGCAGCTCACTACTTAGCACTTTACTTTATTTCAATGCAAATCAACATTAATGCCAGAACAAATGTGAAGCGTAATGCCGGCTATTAGGCTTAGACTTTATGTTTTTGTGAGCCCCATAAGCTAATGGGCACTATTACTGGGAAATACCCAAAACAAATGATATAATTTTAAATACATTTTAAAATCGTTGCTCCTTATGTGTTTAATCATATCATACAGCAATATTCAAACTTTATTATAACTAGAGCTTTCTTTTTTTGTTTTATTCGAAATATTGGTGTTACTAATTGCCTCAAAAGGGAAATCACACATTTTATGATACTATTTTTCCCCTTTAGTCGACAGTTTTTGTGCCCTCCTTTGTCAATTAATTTGATTGATTGGTTTGCATGAATCTCTGTTGATTCATTCATTTTTTTTTCTGCTTTGTACGATTTTAAAGCAGCAACAACAATTAAATTTGCATGTGCTTAACATTTTATGATAATTAAGTGGCACAGACAGCAAAACACGCTTTTTGTGTGTGGGCCGACGTTGGATATGTTTTTTTGTTTTTTTTTTTTGTTGCCAACTTGTTTGTTTGTTTGTGTCACCCGAGTTATGTTCGCATTTTCATACTGAATACTGAAACTTAATTAATTGAGTTGTTGACTGTGCTTGGTTCGACAATAAAAGCTGCCCACACACATTGCGTATTTTTACTGCCGCATTTAATCTCATCCAAATGCGCGCTTTTAAGCCCAGACAAGAGCATTTCAGTTCCCATGGCAATCATCTTTTATTCGCCTCTGAGCCCCTTCACTCGGACACCATTTAATCCGCTATTACGCACTCCACACTCTCTTGGCCAATGTGGGTGGCAATGCGAGTGTGGCATGTGGCATTAACGTGCCAACAAGGGGTTAAACCCCGAAAGAAACAAAAAAAAAAACAGTATAAATAAAATAACACACATCCATTGCGATATGCTTTTCACAGACGCCGCCAACAAACCCGAAGATTGAAACACACCATAATTTAGACAAATCAATAAATTACTAATAGCCCCCGCTACTTCGCTCCTTCATGCGATCGACATTCCACCGAATTCGACCGAGGTCCCAAGTTTTGCGGCAGGCAGCGGGGAGCAGGGCACATAAAAGGTAAGCAGCAGTTGGCCAGGTAGAAAAACAGGCAGGGTAAAGGCACAAAGACAGCGCCGGTCATCGTTCAAGTCGTGTTTTAAATTGGGTTTGCGGCCAAGCTCCAATGCCCAAGAAGGGTAAAGAAAGAAGAGTGGCAGGCAGAGGGGAACTGATACCGTCTTCTTGTTATGGCCAAAGTCCCTGTCCGCACGTACTAAACATCAGGCAGTACCCAACCCAACCCATCAGCATCCAGAAAACAGCACTCAGTGCTGATACTAAATGTTGACCACAGAAAATGGCTAGTTTGAAGTATATAACACAGGAAAAGGTAATGAAAATATATCATAAAACCTTGAATATAATAATCCACATACTATAAATGACATTTAGCTTGAAAACTTTGATTCTTCAAAAGAGGAGATAGCCCTAAATGTTATTAGTTACTTGGTGAGCTTCTTAGAAAGTTTAACTCTAGACTTGCAATCAAAATAGATAGCAAATGAAGAAAATTTTCGTTCTCCTGAAGCTTTTATAATACGAATTTTAATGAATATTCTTTAGAGCATTGAAAATTCCTATAAAAATTCAACTAAAAGCCGGACTGAATGAAAATAGCTAGAGCATGTCAACGCTGGTAGACTCAAAATCAGCGGGAGAACTTGAATTCGCCAAGATGATGAAGAAGCCGAAGAAAACGATGAAGAACAAGGGGCTGTAGAGCTGAAGATTTACGGCAACATCATTGGAAACATCGGCCGCCGTTCAGATCGTTGGGGATCGCTTGGCTTCATCTCCGTCGTCATCGTCATCATCTCGGTTTTTTTTTTTTGTTCTTTCACAAGATGGTTGTTGTAGAAGATTGATCCTCTGCGGTTGCTAAATGAACGCCTCCGGGGAGTTGCCAGTGCGCTTTTATTAGCGTTTTTGATCCAGAATGGATCGTAACCACAGCAGCCAAACAAGCAGAGATGGAGCGAACGGGTATAGGCCCGCATCAGACACACACGCAGTTACTATTGCGGTCACAAGAATAGTGGTTCTATTTCAAACTCAACATGTTTGTTTGTCAATTTCTATTATACAAACCAATATATTAAGTTGTAGAGAACCTGAACTTTTATAAAATCAATAAGTATTTTGAAAACTTTATACCTTTGTATTTTTCAGTGGATATCTAAGATTGATAAGCTCATTAATAACTTGAAAATCCAGGACTATATATTTCCTACATTTTTTTTTTAATTTTTCAACTAGGTATTAAATATTGAAATATTTTATCTAAATTTTTTTTTTTCTTAATACTGATTTTTTTGGTTTCTTTAAGATACTGTTATTTTGATCACCAATGTTTAAGCACGATAAACAAAAAAAATACAAACAAAAATTGCGTTTCGCTAATAATTCTTCGCCCGTTTTTGTTTCTGTTTTGATTCGGCTCGAATCGCGATAATTTGATTTTCCCCAAGCACAACTCAACTCATGCGATTGCGTTGGCGGCGGCTGTTTAGGCTCAACACGCTCGAGGCGGCGGCTTGGCGTTCAATTAAATTAAGTGCAGCGGGTTCCCTTTTCGTTTTTTATTATTTTCCTTGTGGCATGCCACACCACCGCAGAACGAGATGCTTCTCAAGTGCTGGCCAACTCAAGTGGCGATCATGCCACTTAAGCAACGGTCTGAAAACGAGCCATGGATGGGAACTACTTAAAGACGAAAGAGAGGAGGGGACCAGATCTCGATCCCCGGGTACTAGACACATTCAATTGCTTTTCCCAATATATTGATCACTTGAAAGAGACTGAGTGTGTGTGTGTGTGTTCGCTTGCGCCCCTTTTCCGTCCATTGATAGGGCATCGGAATTTATGACTTCATTCCCCCAACAGATCTTTTGTTCGTGTCACCAGCAATTTGCTGTCCTTAATTACGAGTGTTCTCTTTTGAGGACCTCGAATTTAATGAGTTACGCACAAAAATAAGATATGGCTCAGTCTCAGATTTTGGTGTTTATATTCCCTCGATTGTTGTCAAGGGAATCAAACGCTATCGATCTATAGGGGGTTCAGTTTTTGATTGTAACCCCTTGGGCTGTGGCTATCGCAGGGTAAGAATTCGGTACTTTATAAATGGGTTGTGGACTGCCATTTTCTTAAAACGATTCGAGAATGGAATGCTTTTAAAATGCTTACAATTTTATATAGCCTGACAAACCACACATATCGATATATACGCATATAACTGTGGCTACTTTAGTTGTAAATAGTTTTTAATTACTCATTTCTGAAACATATAAAAGAACGTTAACCAATTAAATTAAAATTTAAGGTTGTAAAATATATCACTGAGTACAAACTATGACACAAGTATTGCGTGTTTATTACGACCGCTATTTTACAATCTGATTAAGAAAAAACAAGCCGAAAACATTTAAAGTTTAAAATCTAAATGAAACTTTCGCTATATAAGCCACAAAGTTATCTCAATGCAATAGTACTTTTGGCCAAGATGTTACCACGTTCGTTGCTGCCAATTATTGGAGGACTATGGCTAACCATTTTATTAGTAGATAATTGCAGTGGCAAGGTAAGAATAATATTTCTATCTGGAAAGTGCTAAAAATAATATCGTTTAAATCAACAGCGAAAGTGGGACTACGAGCCGCTAAGTATTGAGAGCTTCTCTACGGATGAAAACTTGCTGAAAATGGACGCGAAGGTGGAGCGACTTGGTAGGGGAGAATTTGCCATTACGGCCACGATCGATTTTAAATACGAACCGGACGAAAATACTATGGTAAGTATTACTTATTCTAAAAAAAACTTCATATTCATTTGGTAAAGAATATACCAGAATATTATGATTGTATAATGGAATATTTATAATATTTTTGATTTCTTTTTTTTACTCCAAATAATATATAAGACATCTTCGTATTTGATCCGAACTCCTTTCAGGTTGAAGCAGTGGGCTATAGAAGCACCTCCGGAGACGAAAACGACTACAAGCTGATTCCTTTAAGCATTCCAAAGCAACCCTTCACGGAATTTATGAACAGTCACTACAAGGACATGGTAATACCCAACCTGGGCGGTTGCTCTAATATTATCCAGTTTAAGGACAAATTCGAGCCGCCATGGCCAATGAAGGTATACAATCTAAAACAATGCGTGGCCGACAGCGATGGGTTTCCGGACGTAGTGCCCGAAGGTTATTACAAGGTCAATTTCACCATGTCGAATCCCGTGGATTGGGGATTCATTCTCATCGTGAAGATCACGACTAAACTTATGTGATAAATCCACAAAAACATATATGTAATGCCAAATTTTAATCTATTTGCAGCATGTAGAAAGTTAGTTGAATTTAATGAGCAATAAAAACGGCATCAGAGAAATTTCAAATCTATATTATTTGTCAATGTTTATGGGCTAGTTGGATTGGATTAACATAAGGTTACATTGGTTTCGTTTCCGGTATTTTATTAATCAGAAACATTTTAATTTCTAAACCAATCATTTGGCTACATGATAAATCCGTGAGATAAGAAAATGTAGAATATAAAATTCAGCTATAAAAGGCCATTGCATTTACCACAACGTTCAAAATCCAATTCAAGCGAAATGGTCCCAACTAAGCTGCTTTTAACCCCGACCAGAACTGGGATTCTAATTTTGTTTCTCCATTTGGCTAAGGCAGCTGTAATATTGGTAAACTTTATAACATTTGACCTATTCTAATTTTTGTGTTCTTAGCGAAAATGGGACTACGAACCGATATCAATGTCCACCACCTCTTCGGATGACAGCAAGCTTAAGTTTGATGGTAAAATTGATCGGTTGGGCCGTGGGGAATACGGATTAACAGCCACCATTGAGTGGAAGTATGATACCAATGAAAAAACCATGGTGGGTCCTCTACAATAATTATTTCTAGCTTTTTACAAACTTTACTTTTTTTAAAATCAATTTCCAGGTTGAAGCCACCGCTTATCGCAGTAGTTCTGGAGATGAAAAAGACTATAAGTTGCTCCCTTGGTCAATTCCGAAGCAGACTTTCTATGAATACATCGACACCTATTACAAGGACGTGATCATCAAAAATGTAGGCCACTGCTCCAACCTTCCCAACTTTAAGGGCAAATTTCAACCTCCTTGGCCAAAGAACACCTATAAGCTCGACAAATGTAAGTTCGATGGCGATGGACTGCCGGAAATCGCTCCGCCGGGATACTACAAGATCATATTTAATAAATTTGGACCAGGCCAGCCAACATGGGGTTTTACGGCGGTCTTCAAGCTGACAAATAAACTGTTCTAGACCTTTTAGTAATCGAAAAGATTACTGATCATTTCCAAAATACTATTAAATAATCTGAAGAAATAATAAATAAATAAAATTTCTTGATTTGAATTACTATCAATTGGTAATGCTTCATTTGAAAACTCGGTATATAACAACACATTTAAAGGTCCATTCTCAAATGCACAAAAGTTTGTAAATAATAACTATATTTTTCGAGCATGTCACAAGATAATGTATATCTTTTTAAAACATGTTACGATTCTGATATCTGGATATCGAATTAAACAAGAATTTAATTATAAGTTGTATTTTTCTCTAATTACTAATGACATTGAGTTAAATATTTAAACAATGTCGGTTCAACATACATAGTAATGTCGTGCAATTTACCAATTTCCTGATGGCTATATAAATAGAATTCGCCCCTTTACAGTTCTCAGTTTAATATTGACGAAATGTTTTTCACCTGCTCGTTCGTCGGAATTTTGTTGGGAGTCCTGCTGATTAATGGGTGTAGAGCAGCGGTTAGTGCAGAATTTATATTCCAATAATAATACAATTATTCATTTATTTTTTATAATGCAGCGCAAATGGGACTACGAACCCATATCGATCATATCAGAAACCTCCGATGACAGCCTTATAAGTCTCAAAGTCAAGATCGTTCGCATTAGCCGCGGAGAATTCGGAGTATCAGCTGAAGTTGAGTGGAACTACGATACGACGGACGAAACCATGGTAGGTATTAATAATTATTAAGTGTATCCTTTATAAAAATAAAAATCTTCTTCAGGTTTCGGCTGTCGTCTACCGAAGTTCATCGGGAGATGAGAGCGACTACAAGCTGCTTCCTTGGGCACTTCCCAATCAACCCTTTTACGATTACCTTAACACCTACTACAAGGATGTGATCATGAAGAATTTCGCCCCCTGTTCGAATGTTCCCCAGTTCGAGGACAAGTTCGAACCGCCTTGGCCAAAGAAGACATATAAAGCCGAATCATGCGTGGTAAATGGCGATGGACTACCGGAAGTCGCACCGCCCGGATTCTATAAGATCATATTTAATTGCAGCGGACCAGAGCAGCCATCATGGAGCTTGGTTGGGATTTTTAAACTAACAACCAAAATTTTTTAAAACAAATCTATTTCGATATTGCAAAACCTTATCGTTGTTACTATGGTTGATTAAATCTTAAAGAAAAAGTAAATAACTCCAAGTAGTTTCTGGCAACTGAAAATATTTTTGCACCCTTTATTAAAATTCAATTTTATTTGGAATAGCTGTTGTTTAGCAGCGTTTAGTTCAGAGTTTATATCCTAATAAAACTTGCATATTAATGCAGCGCAAATAAAGTGGCTAATAAAGCTGCGGTCCACTTTTTAAAACTAACAAACAAAATTAGTATGTTTGCACTTAAAACCTTTGTTAAACTATTTCGAATATAAAAATATTAAACCAATGACAAATATCACAAGGTTTATATTTGGAAAAGAATTATTGCTTTTTCATAGAATTTTGTTAAAATGTTTTTTAACAAGTTTTTAATTATTTAATAGGCTTGAGTGATCTAGATATTGTTAAACTATATAAATGTAGTCATAAAATGATTTTCCGGTCTGATACAAATTTCGTGCCAAGTTTTTGGTTACTTAATCATTCGGTTTGGTTTGCCTATATAAATATAAAGAGCGCCATTAACTTAAGCCATGTACTTAACTTAGCATTAGCGAAATGTTTCCCCGGTGTTTGCTTGGCGGAGTTTGGTTGTTGGTTCTGCTGATCAGTGGGTGTAATGCGGTAATTTCAATATTTATATTGTATAATTAATCCAATAATAATTATAATATTGTGCAGCGCAAGTGGGACTATGAACCCTTAGCGATATCCGGAACCTCTTCGGATGTCAAACTAATAAAAATTGAGCCCAAAATTGAACGCATTGGACGCGGGGAATTCGCGGTTTCCGGAATGATCGAATGGAACTTCGAAACTACCAACGAAACCATGTTGGAGGCTTTTGTATACCGAAGTCAAACGGGAGAAGAGAACGATTACAAAGTGCTCCCTTGGGCAATTCCCAAACAAACCCTTTACGAATTCATGGACACCTTCTACAAGGACGTGACGATGAAAAACATCAAGCACTGTTCAAATTGTCCACAGTTCACAGAAAAATTCCAACCGCCATTACCAAAAAAAACATATGTCGGCGACAAATGCGTGATCGACGGCGATGGACTTCCGGATATCATTCCTCCCGGATATTATAAAATCATAGTTAAGGGCTTTGGACCAAACCAGCCGACATGGGGCGGTACTGGAATTTTTAAAATAACAACAAAAATGTTTTAAAAATCCAAGATGTTCAGAAGAAAAATAAGATAAATAAAAAATAAATTGTGGTTTATGTTAATTAAGAAAATAAATGTCAAATACGAAAATAACAACTCTTTTTTTAATCGATTAATAAAAGTTCCAAAAAGTACTTCAATAATACTTTAGTTTTAGACTCCACAAAATATTTGAGACCGTTATGAACGATTATTTTAATGCCATAAATTTATTTTTTTAGCAGGAAGGTTAGAAATAGATTTACTTGTTTGCGACCTTTCTTTTTGGAAGTGGTGATTTTACCGAGTCTAAGTAAAGTTCCGACATTAAGTTATGCTAACACACTTAAAGGGTTTCAAACTAAATGCATATTTCACCAGATAGTCAATCCGGATCTTCAGCATTGAAATCGCTCACTTACTTTCCACTAAAAATTACAATATTTTTGGTTATAGCGATAATATGCTTGATAAAATTCAAAATCTGTAAATTTTCTAACGAATTTTACATGTTTTTGGCATGTAGTCTTTTTTAACATGTACACCAAAAATGAACAATTGGCTTATATAATTTAAACAAGTTTCTGTCGTAATAATGCCGTGCAACGAGCCACCGTTTGCCATATAAATACAAACCAAGCGAGGATTGGATTAAGTTTAATATTCGCAAAATGATTTCGCGTAGCTCGCTGCAGTTATTTTTCGCTGTGCTCCTGATCCACAGATCATTTGTTGCAGGAGTAAGTTATAAATTTATACTTAAAGGATTTATAATATTTGTTTTTTGTTTTGATCTATAGGGCAACTGGGAGTACGAAACCTTATCCTTGACATCCTTTACCTCCGATGAGAAGCTTTTGAAAATTACGACAAAGGTAGATCGTCTGGGTCGCAGCGATTATGCGTTTTCCATGACGCTAGACTGGAACTATGATGCCAATAATGAGACTATGGTAAATATTTAGAATGCAATACTTATATGCCAACAGGTTTTACTAAATAACTTTTATTTTCTGGACAGGTTGAAGCTTTAGTTTATCACTGCTCGTCGGGCGACGAAGACGACTATAAATTGATGCCCTGGTCAATTCCTAAACAGCCCTTTTTCGAGTATCTAAATGGGTTTTACAAGGACGTTTTTATCAAGAATGTGGGACACTGCTCCAATATGCTGCAATTCGAAGACGAATTCGTACCTCCATGGCCCCGAAATGTCTATAAGTTTGACAAATGTGTGGCCAATGGCGAGGGATTACCGGAAATCGTACCCGAAGGATTTTTTAGATTGGCTTACAAAACCACTGGGGAGGTCGACTGGGGTTTCACTCTGCTTGTGAAAGTCACGCATAAGGTTATTTAAAGTATTTAAGGATGTTCTTTTTCAAGAAATCCTCTAAAAATGTTTTTTTCTTTCTATTTTATTTTATTTTACAAATATATGATAATAAATAATAATTGGTTAGAAAATTTACTGTGTTTTACTAAAAGCAAAAAATAGCAATCCACATTTTATAATCTATTAATAGATTAATTTATGTCAACATATGAATCTATGATAAAAATATTCTCTTGTTATAAATTTTAACTTGACATGTGCAATAAAATTGATTAATCCATTCAAACATGGAAAACCGTGTACTTGTAATTCTTTCTAAAATTGGTTGTCAATATCGTAGCGATCAGGAAATGCAGATAACTTTAACGTGATTAACTCTAATCCAATCACATTACTGTTCACAACAATGGAACAATCTAAACATTTAATACACAAAGTTTCCGTGCCTCACGTTTTTGTTTCAAGTTTAAGCCAGATCAATCGACTATATAAACAAAAGCTAGATGGTACTGACCACCATAACCAGTTTATCCAAAAATGTATTCGTTTTACGTCCATTTGCTATTTTCTGTGTGCATTTTTGTGTACTTATACAATGATTGCGAAGCAAGAGTAAGATTGAAAACATTTTAGTTCTCCAAAATTAAACACACTGTTGTTTAAGGATATAACCAGTTTATTATAAAACTCAAATGTAAATAAAATTTATTTTAATGGATATAATTCAAATATTTTTACAGACCCAGTGGGAGGCCACGCCCATATCTATTGACGGTCACACCACAAACCCCAGTGCCATGGACTCGAATTTACGACTTGAACGCATTTCCAGGGGAGAATACGGCTTTTCGGGGACATTCTTCTGGGGTATTGATATGGATGACAGTGTGATGGTAAGTCTAAAATCAGTTTCCAAATACCCTAGATAAAGAATATATTTATTCCAGGTCGAAATGCGTATATTGAACAGCTACACCGGCAAAGAGGCTGACTACAAGTTGACACCCTTTTCTATTCAACCGCAGAAATTCACCGACTATATTAACACCTTCTACAAGGACCTGTTGATACCTAATCTTGGCAATTGCACCGATATGCCAAAGTACGAATCGGGATATGTACCGCCCTGGCCAAAGACAACCTTCAACTTCAACCATTGCACCGTCAGTGGCGAGGGATTGCCGGAAGTGTTAGCAGAGGGATTCTATAGGGCCGAGGCCATCATCACCGCCCTGCCAACTGTTTCAGTGAACGTGAGCGCTGTCCTTCGAATCAAGACCAAAATGTTCTGAATTCTGAACAATAAATCGACGAACTCCTCTTAGTTTATTTGTCAACTTTTTTCTTCTTTGGGACAAATTTGAGGTGTGAACTGAGATCGTAAAAAAAACAGCGGACTCATTGGCGGGCCAATAAATTAACCGATCCAGGTAGAACCTCCTTAATTCAAGCTGGCGGTCAAAAATTTCAGTGTCAAATTTGCTAATTTACATTTATTTGCGAATAATCCTCTTGTACGTAAGGAGAATTGACCTGAAAAATAAGCAGACGGCATATATGTGTGATCAAGGATTTTTAATCTGCTCAGAATAATTTACAAATGTTACAAAACGAGTGCGAAAACCATCAGGGGGATATCAAGGGGTTAAAAAAAGCGGACCGAAAGATTGCAAAGTTGTCATTTTTAAACAAACAACACCGGACTATTGTAATAGTTTTTGTTTTTTCATTTCTAATTAAAGAGTAAAACATTTATAATAGAGATGTTTTGAAGACTTTGTTTCTGTACCGGTGCGAAACGTTTTCGGAACCAAAATATCAAATACGAAATGGTATCGATTCACCGACTATGTCAACAGCTTCTACAAACACCTGCTGATGTTTAACCTCGGGAAATTTAACCGATATGTCAAGGTATAACTCAGGATATGTATATATATATATATCTGGCCCAAGACCTCCTACAACTTCATCAACTGTGCTGTCGGAAGTGGTAACCGGGGGTTTCTATTATGATTTCAGCTATCATCATTTTATGGATGATACTGCAGGCAGTACTGCAGTAAACGTGAATGCTGTCCCAGAATGCTCTAAATTCCGGACAATTAAATCGCCGAATTCCTCCCTGTTTATTTGCCAACTGCTTTTGCTTTTGGGCCTTCCCGAGGTGTGAGCCGAATTCCAGCTAAGACGGGATCGACATAAAATCCGGCGGACTCATGGGCCAATGCATGAACCGGGCCAGGTAGAAATCGCTTAAAGCCAGCTGACGACAGGCAAGCAGGCAGTTGGAGTGTGAAATTGGCAAGACATGTTTGGAAACTGTTGTGGTAGAAAAAAGTGTTTGCGGCAGGGTAAAGAGTGGGGAACGCCAAGGAAAAATTGCACAAAGTGTCGCTTGCACAGAGAAAAATATGAATTACTGTAAGAGATTTTAAGTTTATTAAAAAATATATTATACAGTATTGAAACCACCTTTGTGGATTGTGTAACAGAGGGGTGAAATTAAAATAAATTCAAATTAGCAGGTGCTAAGCTTAAGTCTTAAAATGAGATGCCTGGCAAACAACAAAAAAAACGATGTCTACTTTTTCTGTGTACTTTCCCCTCGTTTCGCCCCCTTGAAAATGCAATTCGAGTTGCATTTCAAGTGAAAACTCTGCACAGTTGCCTCGGCTAATTTATTGCAAATTGTTAAAAGCTACAACGACGAAGGCGACGCTGCTGCTGGCTGTCAACTGATGACAGCAGCATGCGGCTCCTCCCCACCGTTTCCCCCCTACCCTAAACTTGTGGCCGCTGCTGTGTTTTCCCCATTTCCAGACTGCTCCTCCTGTTGGCTGGGTGCAAAATGTAGTTTAGAGTGAACCAGATTCGCATGGAAATCGTTGGCAATTTCACAGCAAGGCAATAAAGTCACAGCTCTTTGAAGAGCTTTATTTTAAGCGAATGCCAGATTGCAGTAGCTTAATCAGTAGGAATTTTAATAAAGCGCTTAGTGTTACCAATTTAGAAATCCGTTATTAGTTGGGTTTTAGTGGATTACATTTTGAAGTATTTTTAAAACTTGTTTAATTGGTATAATGCGAGAACTTAAGTGTGCATTCCATTTTATTGCTTTCGAATGTACGCCCAATAATTCAGAACAAATATGCACTGAGTTCCTACAATTTCATTAATTACCTCAATAAAATATATAACATTAAACCCGTGTCTGCCTTTTTTAATACGCTTAACTTTGTGTAAAAATGTTTATTTAGCATTACAAACGCGATGGCGATCTAACAACGTTTTAAAAGCCAATTAATTTGCTGCAACGAAACGCGGCTCACCCTGATTAGCATACGGCAATACGGCAACGGAAAACAACAACGGCAACCAATTTGCATTTAGCCACCATCCATCTAACTCACACAGTTCCCATCGCCCCGAATCCCGCTGTTTGGCCATCAGTAGTTCGCACAACTTGAACATTTTGCGGCATTGACAATATCAAATTGTTATCTGGCATAAAATAATTACAACGTTTTAATGCAGACAAAATAGTTGTCGTCGGTCGACGGTTGCAAGTTGTTGGTGTTGTGTGTGCTTGCTGTTGATATCATCGTTGTTTTTGCTGTTGCCGCTGCTTTGGCTGCCAAAGTTTAGCTGCCAATTTGAGTGCCAATAAAAGCGCGTGTGCGACAGCAAAGAGATTTCATTTTCAGCGCACAACGTTGCCATGGTTAGTTTTTGCTGCTGGTGCGCTAATTAACCAAAAACGCAGCCAATTAGTTGGACTAACACGGAAAAGTTGCAGTTCCATAAAACAGCACGAGAGGGAGTGGTGCACGGAGAAAAAAAAGAGGATAATTATCTTTGTCACATTTTCATTTTAATCCATATTTATCCTTTTCTTTTCTGACTGGTTGTCAAAAAACGCGCAACCAAAGAATTTATTTTCAAGATCCCAAAGAACTGATATTCGATTTTAAAGAATTGACAATATTGTGATATATTCTTTAACCTTTTTTTTGGCAAGTGTCACTAGCTCAATTGGCGGACCTATTTTCATTTGTTTTTGCGATTTGATTGCGAGATTTGACTAGATAATACTAGGGAAACTAGCGAATCAACATTGTAAGCTAATTGTCTGGATTGTCAGAGAGTTTGTTGATTATTTAAATACAGACTGATTATTTGAAATGGCATATATTTATTCCACGAAATTACTCTAAAATATTCCCAAATAACCGGTATAATTATATCAAAGGTTTTTTTTGTTAATAACCTCTTTTATTATTATAGCTTTTTAACGTGTTCACTTAAATAATAAAAACAAAATGGAACTTGTTTTGAATAATCTCTTGATTAAGTAATATAGTTTTTAATAACATTGATCTAATTTTGACCATGCTAACTGGTATGTTAAACTAGCCTAGTTTATTACCAGCATTTCCGTGTTTCAACTAATTAAACTGCGACAGCTTTTAGATCTTGGGCATTTGAAATTCTCCTTCAATTTGCGATGCTCATTGATTGAAAATTTGCAAAATGGAATGCATTAAACTTAGCCAGGCAAAGGTTAAATTATGTCTGCATTCACAGAGATGCGGCCACAATAAACAAACAAGAAAGGGGCAATAAGGGGGGATAGTCAGTCAGAATGCAAAGCTTGTTAAAATTCATGTAATGCATTAACAGAGAACAACAACCACAAATTACACACACACAGAGGTGGAGGACGAAAGGGGCACAGGGGGCGGAAAGGGGGTCTCTACTGAGTCAAAAGGCCGACGGGCTGCAATGAAAAGGCAATTAAAGCGCAGCAGGCTGGAAGGGGGGTGGGGTCCAAAGGGGGCAGCAGAGGAAGGGGATAATGCTGCTGCTGCTGTTGCCGTTGCAGCAATCAATTGCATGCTTCAATGGACAAATATACGAGCATAGACAAGTGGAGAGCCAACTCAGATAGACATGGCCGATACGGACGCCAAAGCAAATGCGTTCGCTCAACTACAGTAGAGCTCCCTGTCAGCAAAACTACCTTTAATATAATTTCTTAGAAATTCTTTAAGAATTACATATGTCGCAAAATGCCTATTTTATATATATAGGTACAAAACTTTTATCTCAATTAAAGATCAATGTATTCTCAATAAGTGTTAAAAAAAAGTTTTAAGAACATTAGAAAAAATTTTATTAGGTTAAAGTTAAGTTAAGTCTTTAAAGTAAGGTTTTACATATATGATCATATGAATCTTTCCTTGCAGTTTAGTTCAGCAATATATTTCCGCCTTTGGGTTTTTTGTTCGCACACGATTTTAGTTAAATTCAACTGGACAAATTTTGTTTTATTATCGATGGCCGACTGTATCTGCGTTTGTTCATCTGTGAGTTTGCAGCCACAAATGTAAGCGTGTGTATCTGTGAGTTGTCCACGGCAGACACCCGAGGGACGGACGGAAAAGCGACTAGATGGACTCAACTAGATAAAAACCCTAGTTGGCTTGGTGCCCGGCCAAAAGGAGGAATACAAGTGGGGCTGAAGAGGCTTTCAGTTGGGCTGGGCTGGATTGGCTTGGGTTGGGTGTTCGATGTTCAGCATTCAGTGTTCGGTGTTCGGAGCTCGGAACTTGGAGCTCCAACCGTCTGCATCTTCATTCGCCTCCTTCGACGGCGGCAGTCAAGTGGAACGGCACAAAAACTTGTTAACTTTTTTCGCTACAAAAGGTCCGGAGAGTGCCAAGTTGAGTCAATCAACTGGCAACCTGCTCCTCTACTCCTGCTCCAGCTCCAGCTCCTGCTCCACCCCTCTATCTGTGCTCACTAGGCGGCAATTAATCAAATGGTAGACCCCGAATCCAACTCACTGCCCCGGGCTTTATTATTGCAATCAAGTCATTTACCTGCAAAACGCTTAATTATCACTTTTTGGGGCGGCAATTAGCAATTAGCAGACAAATTCTTCACATGCCACGCCCATTTGCGACTACTGCTCCTTTCTTTTCTTGAGAGGCTCCCGTCCAAAGCCATACTTCTCTCCATACAATGGACTTATGCCGGCCAACAGCTGGTGGGCAGAGTCATAGACAGTGTCACAATTGGCCACCTCATCGGCCACGTTATCAAAGTCATAGGCCACAATCCGATAGCCAGCGCGACTTAGTTCCACACAATAGATGACCTGCTCGAGGGTGCGAATATTGATGTAGGCCACCCAGCGACAATGGGGCAGGAATTCGGCCACGATCAAGTGGTCCGCAAACTCCTGGCAAGAGTCCACCATTCGTTGCGCCTCCCGGAGGGCGTGGAAGTCGTTTTCGTCACTCTGGACGAAAGCCATTTCGGCAGCTCTTTGAATTTTAATTTTGACCTAACAAACTAGGGACATTGACAGATTAACAGAAATAGTTTCATAAGGTTTAACTGCCCTTTTTCATTACACTTGGTTACTTTACTATGACATTTACATCTTAGCAACTTCTTGTCACTTAAAGACAATTTCGTTGACCAAAGATCAAGTCCATAATACTATATTAAGGTTTCAATCGGGAACAAACACATAATTATTACTTCAAATTAACCCAAAGTAATCCCATTTAAATATATTTTGTATAACCTTTTAAGCTGAAGGGTATTAAAAGTATCGAGTCCCTAATGTACAACATTCCCTTCTCGTTTTCAAGACATTTTTTGTATTATGCATCCGCTTAACTCCTCGTGCGGCTCCTCTGAAACCCTCCACTCCTTTCCCTTTCCCTTTCCCTATTTCGGTCCCTTACTGTACGAGTATCTTCCTTGACTTCCCCGACTCAGAAACCAAGCTCAAGTGCTCTGGGTCCTCGGGGTCTTAGTCGCCTGATGCTGCCTGCTGCCGCTGGAAAACAAAAAGGACAAAAGCAAAGAGTCTCGGGCTCAGACTCATGACAATCGAATGAGGAGTGAGAAGAGGACATGGGAGATATGTAGGGGATAAGGGGTAGCCTGACTTGGTGTGATTTGATACACAGAACAAAATTGTTCTTTCAAAAGCGGATGACATTGTTGCATAACAGAAAATCTTAGTTTGACAATTTATAAAAGTTATTAGATTAAGTTTTTTTTATGATTAAATGGAAATTTTGATAGTTTTTATATTTGCATACTCTTGAACAGGATTAAACCCCAAAAATAGTCATTTCGAGCAAAATTTATTATAGCAAAAAGATATAGATCATTGTAATGAAATCTTCAAAATAATCTTAATTTTTTACAGTACACCCCATCACATCGACAATCCACGGCAGCAGCATCTTTTCCCTTACTTTTTTGCTGATGAAGTTGAACAATTTGAGATACGAGCTGAGAAGGAAGGTAAGCGAACAGAAAGAGACGGGCGACGGGGCGGGGGAAAGAGATGGGTTGGTCGACGGACGGAACGGACCGAAAGGGACAGACTACGGACAGCGGACCAAGGACTGAAGACCGAAGACTGTGGAACGTTCATTTAGTTGCCCATGGCCATGGCAGGCAAACCGTTTTCTGTCCCGGCTACCAGGCAAAGTTCCTGCGCTCCGCTCCGCTCCACCTTCCATTCCCCCCCCCCGTCGCCCAACAATCAAGATGCTAAAAATGAAAAACTTTTTGCAACACACACGCAAATTTTTCTTCAATTTTCCTTCTGTTGCCGCCTAAATAGTTGATGAATTATGCGACAGCTGGGCGGGAAAAGTTTTCTTAAATTTCATATTCACACGGAGGAAAACAAAATTATTTATTCAATTTGTATAGCTTTAGTTGCCAATATTTTGCATAAGGTAATCAAGTTGATGGTTTTCAAGATACAGAATCTGTATTACAGATATAAAAGTTGATTGAGGGTTTCATCATGATCATGAAATAGACAACCTTTATTTTCTTTAAGTCAGAAAGGTAACTTTTTGATAAGTTCAAGAAGTTTGAATATAATACAAATTAAACCTTCATGCTATTATTTCTATTGTGATATGAGATTGAGCCGAAAAAGCAAGAGTTACCGATATTGCTGATAGGAAATTGGGTTCATTAAGAGTATAAAATATTTCTCACTGTGTGTGCGAAAGTTCAGTTTCAATTTATTTTAATTGCGCTGACAGTTTACGATCTCCCCCTGCGTTTCCATTTCCCCCGCACGACTGCAATCAAAAGGAATAAATGAGTGAGCGGATGAGAAGGCGACGGCGGACAATAAGTGGATGGGAAGGGAGTGCATGACCATAATCCGACTTTAACTCTTTCACCGATTCCCTGCCCTGTGGGCCTTTCTCCCGCTCCTTTGCTCACAATTGTCGGAGATTTATGAACGCCTCTTGCGCTTTAAATTGAATTCAATATTTTGCAAGCGCAGTGTGCTGCTGCTGCAACAACGGCAAATTGTAAACAACAAAGTTTTTTGTGTTCCGTTGACAGTTGCACTTTTTTTTATGGCGATTGCACATTTCATGGCTTTCTTTTTTTCGCGCTAAAATGGAATTTTCCTTCCTTTTACCTACACTATTTTCGCGCAGTTCGCTTTCAAGAGGTGTGAAAGGCGTTGAGTGGGTGTGTCGACAATTGAGCTGTTTTCATGCTTTTTGTTGAATTTCCTTAGTTATCCGCTTAAAGCCAAAAGACAATACATACCTGCAACGAAAAAGAGGAGGGAAATGCGGAATTAGTGGAAAATTAATGAGATGGTTTAGGTTTGGGTTTAATGAAGTGTGCATTTAATATTCTTGGTATTGTAGCATAAATTGTTAATGAATCATTGGAGTATAAAATGGCTTAAAATTGTATTTAAACAACCTAATTTAGGAATTGTAATCATTTTAATCTGGTACAGAATTCCTTTTATTACACTAATATAAGTAGTTCTTTGAACAGCTTAAGTTGCTTTGCTCCCAATTTGCGAATATCTGGGTAATTTTCGTTTTTGCCTGTCCTATTATTACAAGAATAGGGTGAAGGAAAAACAGGTAAGGTAAGTAATCTCCTTATTTAAATCCAAAGGGTGCCGGTAAAGTTGTCTGTCCAGATAAATTTGCCCTTTTCGCACCTTGAACAGCGACATTTACTTCTTCTACTCAAATTACCTAGGCAATGATTTTTTCTTTGATTATGTTCCTTTTTAGCTGTGGTTAGTGGTTTTAAGACAAGTGTACGAGCAACATCAGAAATATATAGAGCAACAGAAAGGGGAATCTTAAAAGCAACTAAAAAACTAGGCAACACAAACCACAGCAACATCAGAAACAGCAGCGACATCAAGACCAACAACAACTTTGGAAGAAAAGGTAACTAAAACCTCAGAAACAACAGACACAGATGCAACACCGTCAAGAGCAACACTAAGAACAGTACAACGTTAACAACAGCAACACTAGCAACATCAGCTTGTACAGCAGCAACATAAGAAACAGCAACAACAATAACAGAAAATGCAGCAACACCAACAACAGCTGCAACATAAACAACTGCAACACCAGCAACACCATAAGCAACCGGAGCAACATTAGCGGCAACAGCAACAGCAGAAAAAGCAACAGCAACACCAAGATGCCCCCACGTTGAAAATTCAAAATGTTTTCGTTTGAGTGAGCACAACAACAACTACAATAACTTTCGACACGGTGAGTTGGCTTCGTTGTTTCTATAGTTGTTTTTGTTGCTGTTGTTGCCATTTTCGCCGCCAGGGCGCTACATTTTGTTGTTGCTTTTTTTTCGTTCACATACAATTTTGTTGCTGTTGTTGTTGCCTCTTCTGCGCCAGTCAATTCAATTTGAAGCCATTTAGCATCAATTTGCAGTAATTTGACGTATAAATTATGTCAAATTGCCGAGCAGCTTGTCATTGGGTGTATTTCGTTGTTGCCGCTTGTTGTTGTTGTTGCTGTTCTCACTCCGTCAGCCGCTCGTTTTCGGTTCCTTTGTTGTTGCTTTTGCACCTTTTTTTTCTCCCTCCCTGATTTTGTTCTTGTTGTTATTGTGAGAGATTGTGCCCGCCAGGTAAAAATTGAGGGAAAAAAAAGGTAGGGCAACAAGAGGTGAGGAAAGGTGCGGAGCAGAGCGGCATCATCATCAAGTCCCAGTTGCCAGTTAAACAACCGCCAACCCTTCGTCCTTCCCTCTAAAAACCATTGTGTGACTTGGTTTTTCTCCATCTCTTTCTGCACAGCAACAAAAAAAGACAACTTCGACTTTATATAATTTGTTAGTGATTTTTAAGTGCTAATAATAATTTTGTTATTATTTAAGCAAAACTTGTTTGTTTGCTTTTATTTGTAAGGAAAATAAAATCAAGTGGTGGAAAACAATTGTGTAAATAAATACCAAACAATACCTGTTTAAAATTCTATTTGCTCTTTTAAGTACATAATAATCTTGTTAGCGTTCTTTTAACACAATTTTTTTGTTTTACAATGAAAAATATTGGATCAAAATCCTTTTTTTTTCTCTGTATATACCTTTATTCTCCCTCTTTTTTCTGCGGCACGTTCGGCAGTGTGTGAATTTTATTTTCGCTTGTCGACACAAAAGAATTTCACTTAATACCCAAGCGAACGCACACACTCGTAGGTATAAGGGTCCAGAGCAGAGGTTGAGCAGTAAAAAGTGCCTCATAAAGCCGATATATAAACTAATGCCAGAACAAGGGGAAGAGATGGGAAAAAGAGGGCTGCAGAAAAGAGGGGCAACAATTTTTACGCTTTTGTGAATGTTAACATTCAAAGATATCATCAAAAAATTCACTGGAAACGCTTGTACAATAAACAAGAAAGGAAAGCTAACTTCGGGCGGAGCCGAAGTTGATATACCCTTGCAGAATACTCTGTAAATTATATTCTCCAAAATTATTCATATGATGCATTCTTAATACTCATAAAAAATCCCAACTTCCTAACTTTAAAAACACCAAAGTTATTGCATTTCCGATCAATCAGTTATATGGCAGCTATAGGATATAGTCGGCCGATCCTTATGAAATTCGGCATGTCGGATTGATTAGCCAAATATAAAACCCATAGAAAATCCCAACATTCTAACTTTACAAACACCAAAGTTATGGCATTTCCGATCAATCAGTTATATGGAAGCTATAGGATATAGTCGGCCGATCCTTATGAAATTCGGCATGTCGGATTGATTAGCCAAATACAAAACCCATAGAAAATCCCAACTTCCTAACTTTACAAACACCAAAGTTATGGCATTTCCGATCGTTCAGTTATATGGCAGCTATAGGATATAGTCGGCCGATCCTTATGAAATTCGGCATGTCGGATTGATTAGCCAAATACAAAACCCATAGAAAATCCCAACTTCCTTACTTTACAAACACCAAAGTTATGGCATTTCCGATCGTTCAGTTATATGGCAGCTATAGGATATAGTCGGCCGATCCCGGCCGTTCCGACTTATATACTGCGTGCAAAGGAAAGAAGGGTGTGTGCAAAGTTTCAGTTCGATATCTTTAAAACTGAGAGACTAGTTCGCGTAGAAACAGACAGACGGACAGACAGACGGACAGACGGACAGACGGACAGACGGACAGACGGACAGACGGACATGGCTATATCAACTCAGGAGGTGATCCTGATCAAGAATATATATACTTTATAGGGTCGGAGATGTCTCCTTCACTGCGTTGCACACTTTTGACCAAAATTATAATACCCTCTGCAAGGGTATAAAAACAAAAATGATAAAAAAAAAGGGAGCCAGCAAGAAGCTGACGATGCAGAAGCATTGAAGATCGTTTTCCCCCTCTTGTTAAAGGGAAAAAAGCAGAGGATTTTGTCGCCTCTTCTTTTGTGGATGAGTTGCTGTTGCCGTTCACGCGTCGTAAACTCGGTAGCAGCAGCAACACCAACAGATACAACAGCAGCGAAGACAATGCACAGGGGGAAAACTTCCGCAAATATCAGGAGTACATTGAGAAAAACACATAGCCATTTGTAAAACTGTGGGAAAGTATGTTGAGCAACTTTAGACTAGTTTTTTTGAAACAGATTCTAAGACTTCCACAAAAATACTATTATAAATTTATTTTTTTTATTCTACTTGTGAATTTAAAGTAACAATAAAACGATTTAGAAAATGTATCATATTTATTTACCTAACAATAAATTTATGAAATAATAATTTAAAATTTTGAAAAATTAAATCTTTTTCAATTCTTTTTTCATGTGTAAAGACGCAAAACATTGGGGAAAAGGGAACCTGTCATCAACAGGGACATGAGATATGCACGTTTCCCTTTCTCCAGCATTTCACTTCTCCCATGGCTTTTTCGTCGCACTGCAAGCCATTTGAAGAATTTCCATTTGCATTTTAATTAAGTGAATGGACAAATGACCCAAGGGGGCCGAAGGCCAAGCGGGGGTGGTCACTGGTCGGGCAGAAAACTTTATTATCTGTACAAGCAATTATGCATATCATAAAACACTTTAAACATTAATGAGTGTCGGCAGCGAGAGGGAGACAGAAGTGGAGATGGATCGAAAGAGAAAGGGAAAAAGACGAGTCATCTTTTGGCTGCTATAGTACTTCTTCTCCCCACTTGGACTCCAAAGCCAGAGACTCGTTTATTTTTCATTCATCCACTTGGGCAGCTCAGCATCCGAAGGGGAAAACAAAAATCTTGGGTTGAGGGAGAGCAAAAAAAAATGTAGAGTTGAAGAAGAAAAATTAAAACAAATTACCATTTTGTAAGATGTCGTGTTGAAAATGTTTACAATTATTGTATTATTCAAAATCGACAAAATTCTGTTAAAATTTAAAATTATAATAAAATAAATAATAATAAAATTTAATTTGGTGTATTTTATGGCGTTTTGATTGATTTATCTCAAAATAATAAGTTCTTATTATAATGGGTAAAAAATAAAATGTTAAGTCATAAAATATCTCTAATTTATGGAATGAACTGAGTAAAATGTGCTTTAAGTGATATTTATTATTTGTTTTTTCTTTTGATTGAATCAAACTGGCCGCAATGATTTGCATGTTCATCGCATATCGCCTGCACTGTCATCTCTAAGTGGACAGGCAACTACAAGACCCGGGCAGAAAGAAACGCCCACGCCCCCAAAAGATTCGGTTAGTTAGTTTATGGGCAAAGTCAGCGTGTTGCCACTTTATTGCCTGCTTTACATTTCTGTTAGTTTTCTATCCGCACCCAGGGGCAAAAAGACAAACACACACACATACACATGCAAAAAAACAAGAAGTGTGTGTGTGAAGTCGTGTTATGCTTTGCGGCCAAATTAAAATTCGACTTAATCGTTTAAACATTTAAAAGGCAAACTAAAAGCCAGCAGGCGTCGCAAAGTTTCCCATTTCCCCAACTCGCCCTTCTCTACCACCTCCTACTTCACCACTTCCTTCTCCACCACCTTCTTTTCCCCTTCTGCTCCTTTTTCCGACCCCCTTCCTTTTCCTCTTCCCTTTTGCTTTTTTTGCATGCGCAGCTCAACATGCGCCAAAAGTTGTAGCAGCCTGTTGCTGTCCTGCTCACACAGCCAGGCTTTAATGAGTGAGCGCCACACAACAAACATGGCTGCCGCTGCTCTCTCTCTCTCTTTTTCTCTCCATCTTCCCCACCAAAAACTCCATCCCAAAAGAGAGTGCAAGAGAGATGGCCTGCATGAAGATTTTTACGGGATAAATACCCCAAATAAAAGAGAGGGAAAATGCTCTTTTTGCACAATTCAAAAATGTTAATTAAAATTTAAATGCTTACTGGGGACCCGTGGCAAATTAAATTTTGATTGATTCATCCACAGGACTTCTGCTGAACCGGCAAAATAAACTCATGGAGCACAAAGTTGCCTTGTCAACGGTACCCAGTACCAAATTTCAATTACCACCGAAATATCTTAACTACCGCTTGGGGTAATAAACCCAAATGGTCCGGAAAATAAATGTGTATATTAAAGCATAAAATAAATATATGTGCGAACATTAGCTGCAACAGCTAAATTATAAATCCGATTTATGAGCCATTATATTTTTGGGGGTGCCAAAAAAATATGTAAGCAAAAAAATTAAGGTCTAAAAGCCAATTTAGTAAAATGTTAGCAGCTTGCCAACTAATTTCAATTTAATGCCTTTCCTTTATTGCCATTCGTTTTGTACTTTTAATTGTTAGGGAATCATGGATTTGTGTTTTGTAAAATTTTTTCAATTTAAGCTTTGAACGAGGTTAATGACATTCTTTATTAGCTTAATAATAAATCTTATTTATGAGCCATAACATTTAACTTCTTTCAAAAAAAAAATTGATTGGATTTTATACAGCTAATATAATAATACCGATTTAATATTTTTAACGGGCTTAATTATTAGTTGAACCCGTGCTTAAATAGTGTTTTATAGCTTGAGTTTGGCAATACTTATACCGTTACTTTTAGAATTATGTAGTATTAAATTTTAAATTAAATTAAATTTTTAATATTGCCTGTTCACGTGTTTATATTTTATAGCGTGGGCGTTTCTCTTTATATGGTTCCGTTTCAATTTAGTCATTATCCGAGCACAATTTAGTAATGCTAATTTAGTTGTTTTGGCCAAGATTGCTCCTAATGCCACACTGACATGCAATGGTGGATTTTGTTTTCCATTGTTTCTGCTTTTTTTTTCTTTCAGTTCATTATTTTGGAAAGGTTTCCACCTCTGACAAAAGAGGGCAATGAAAAGAATTCCAATTGAGTGGAGAACTCGAGAGACGCCGGCAAAATGCGAAGAACTCGGAGGCAGTGTTGTTGATAGCAATCAACATCAATTAAAGCAGCTGTCTGTCTTGTTGTTGGCCGTGTAATTATATTTGCTGCTGCGCGTTTTTGGCTTCATCATCATCATCATCACCATGGTCATTACCCATGCATTGTGCACCGCCAGCAACATGTTGCTGCTGCGCCTCCAAGTAGCAACTGTCCGTCTGTCAGTTCTGATGGCAACTGTTGATAATTATAATCCGCTTGTGGTTAAAATGGTGTTGCCTACCTTACTGGCGATAAGCGCGCATGAATAATTATGTTGCCGCTGTCTCCGAGTTGTTGCTGCTGCTGCTAATGCTGATGTTGCTGCTGTTGCTTTTGCTGTTGCTGCAATGTCGCCTGCGCGACAACTCATGAATAATTAATGCACTGCCGCGACTGCCGGCGACTGGCTGAAATGTTGCTGCCGTAGCAGCCGCAGCAGCAGCAACAGCAGGAGCAGCAGCAACTTGTCTTGGTAGCTTTTCAATTACAGCAGGAAATCGTGAATTACGGCAAACCAGAGTTAGAGTTGGCCATAAAGGAGCAAATGCTGTTCTCATTGTTGATTAAACTTGACAGCTCTTATTGTTGTTGTTCAAATATTTATTAAATACATAGAAAATCTCCTCAGAGGGTGCCGACAACAATTAACACTTGAATGGCAGCGGCGGCACAGCGGCAGTAGCGCAACTATTATCAACTCAATTTGAATAAATTCGCTCGTGACACAAGAGTAAAGAAGGGGAAAACGCTGAAATTCCCACCTTAAATTAAATAAGCAATGAGTTTGTCTCGCAAAAAAAAATAAAGGTTCGGGGCGGTCGCACAATTGGCACTTGAAAGGCATCAAGATACAATGGCAATAACTGCAGCAGCAACATCAGCAGGGGAGAAGCGGCAGCAGCAGCAGCAGCAACAGCAACAACAGCAACAGCAGCGGCAAACAAGCTAAACAAGTATTGCTGCTGTGCCGAGGAGCAACAGCAACGACGGCAGCAACATCAGCAGATAAAAGGCAGACAAAAGGCACGAGATGTGAGAGACGTCTAGGGTTGCTGCTGCATGGGAATTGAATTCCATTCAAAAGACGGCAGCAGGCTGTTTGTCATACTTGCAACAGCGGCAACAACAACAGCAGCAACATTGCCAAGAAGCAGAACCCAGTGAAATGGCTTACATGCATTTCTCTGCCTCTCTTCCAGCAGGCGTGTTGAGGTGTGTTGAGATAGCATCTTGCATAAAATTACTGCCAGTGGTAGGAGCAACATCAGCATCTCCACCAGCAGCAACAGCAACAGCAGCAGCAGGAGCAACAGCAGCAGCCACCAGCGACGTGGTTGCCTGATGCTATGCCACTGATAGCCTCGAAATTGTTGGCAGTTGCAATTTGCTGTTTGGAATTTTAAGCGAGCCAACAATGAAGTTCAAACCGAAGCGAAGGAAACCAAAAAAAAAACAAAAACAAAAAAGCCAACAAAAAGATAAAAACCCAGAGAGCCCAAAGGAAGAGGAACCCGACAGCAACATCATTCTCATGCTCATCAGCAGCACCAGCAGCACAAAAGTTTAACCCGTCTCTGGTATCGATTTTTGATTGCCTTTAAAAAGATTCGATTTTTGGGACAAAGGAAGTCTAGATTGTTGCCAGCTAAATTGCTTTTATTCATAGTTTTGAGTCGAAAACATGTCATGTTTGCATAATGCTGATAACTTTATTGGAAAGTTGTTAAACTGAGTCGTAACTCTTCTTTACAGACAAATTCTATGTTTTTCTTTTTGTTTGCCTTTGAGTTGAGGTTTTATTTAAGCCTTAGATTTTTCATTCTTTGGAAGTTTAAGCTGGTTTTGTTCAAGATTATTTGTGAAATAAGAAATATGCATAGAACATATCTGACATTATTTTTAGCTGAATATAAAATATTTAATAACTTATTTAATTATGAACTTAGATTTGGTCCAATTTAGTTGAACTCATTAAATTTAACCTGACTATAAAAACCATGACTATCTTTAAAATTTTGATTACCATTCTATAAATCAGTAACTTCCTACCCTGCAAGGCTGAAAATGGGTTAAGTTTTGGTCTCTGTTTTCAAAGTTGGAGCCTGCGCTAAATTCAAGACCTGCGATTGCAATAAAAGTCAGCAGGCAGGCACTGATGTGTTGCTGGAGCCCACCTCTCCACATCCGCATCCACATCCACATCCAGCTCCTGCTCGAATCTCCTGCTCCTTCCCCATTTGAATTTCATTTCAGTGGTGCCTTTCGTTTTTATTTATTTTTTATTTTTCAGCTCGCTTCCATTCAATTTCTGCTGCTGCTGCCTTGCCGCCATCTGAGCTTTGCATAAGCCCGTAGTTCATTTGAGAGAAACAAAACAAAGCAAAACCAAATAAAAAAAACCAAACCAAAGGCGAGGAAAAAAATCGAAATAAGATATAGTCGGGCAGCGGCAGCAGCAGTCAGCACGATTTATGTTAATCAGACAAGAAGGCAGGGGTCCTGTCTTTTGGGGGAAATCGGGGAGCCAGCGCCAGCCAGTTGCATTCAATCATCTTTTATCTGGCAGGCATCGGCGGAGTTTGGTGGGGATTTCTTTTTCTTGTGGGTATTATGTATCGCTTAGTTGCATTTGGCGCACTTTCCGATTTTTCCCTCTTTCTCCCATTGCCAAGTCAAAGTTTGATTCGTGTTTTCGTATTTTGCCGCAGCGAGACTTCAATTTGATTTGCCGCTATCGATTTGATTTCAATTTGCCAAATGCTCTGGCTATTTATCTCAATGACTCACTCGTTGTCCCTTCTTTTTCCGATTTGTTCAGTCAGGGTGAAAGTCGAATTCAATGGGAATGTAAAGGCTGGTAAAAGGCAGAAGAAAATCCTACCTTTATGTGTAATTTAATCCTATTTCTTGCTATTTAAAATACAATTTTCATGTACACATTTAAATATCAAATACAATAAACATTGTAGTTAAGGGTCTATAATACACTTCATTACTTACACACAATTGTTCGAATAAAAACGAGACGAAAGCAGAGTAATTGAATACCAACCTGTAATGAGAACAATTATAATAATAAATTAATTACGATTGCAATTAAATATGTACATAATAAAATTATTTCAGCAGAAAACAAATAAATGGTTTCTGTTTAATTTGCAATTGAAAACCATCAAAATGACGCACACACAATAAACCCAAAACTCAAATGGGAAAATCAAAAATGTATAGAGTGAGATACTGGCGCTGATGGAAACGAATAAAGGGAAAAATGAAAAATATCTGACGGCTGGCAAAAATTCTGCCTCAAATTCATTTAGCAAGTTGAATTTTAAGTGCTCCACAGCAGCTTCTTCCTGCTCCCTCCCCACTCACTTTGTTTAGTTTGGGATGCTTTGGTTTCCCCTTAAATAATTCACAAACATTTTCAGCCAAAATGCTGGCAAAAAACATTTTTTTTTTTGTTCGTTTGCAGTTTATAACAGGAATATACAGAAGGCATGGGAATAAACTGAAAATCTCATTAGGGTGTGTCAGCAATAAACATTTTTTTTCTTAAATTATCTTTAATTGAAAATGAATTTTATTTATAGTTTGTATATCGGATTTTCATTTTACCGACTGTTGATTTAGCTTCCATTTGTTGAAATTGCATTTTAAAACCAAACAATCTTATTATTTGTATTTTTGCTTTAAAGCTTAAGCTGGTCATACTGTGCTAGTCATATTAAGCAGTGTGACCTTAATGTTGAAAACAATTTCAAAATTAGGGTATTGACAACATAAATGTTTATTTCATGTTGTTTGGTGTATCTTATTGAATCACCCTAGCCCAATGGGTAACATGCGAATGACTCGCTGACTGAAAGGCTGAAATGCTAAAATGACTGACTGCCAGTCCGACTGTCCGACTTGTTCTGGCTCCTCTTCTTCTTTTTCACTATGCAGCGCGGCACAAAAAGTGAAAAATAAAGAAGAGGAAGAAGATATATAGTAGTTGTGCCATTTTTGCGCTTTTCATGCACTTTTTACGCCGGATGTGCAGCACGGTGGGAGGAGGAGGGGTTGGAAAAATGCCGAAAAAGAGAGCACACAGCAAAAGAAATTTGTAATTTCAACAAAGCAACGAAGAAAATGGCACAAAAAGGCCACACCCACACGCCCAACTCACTATTTTACAATTTTTTATATACACATATACTTTTTGTTTTTATTTTTTTTTTCCTCCCGTTGAACTAAAAACTTTTCCGCCCAGCGCCATCGTTTGAGTGGGCGGGGTAAATGCGTTTTTGATGCTGTTTTTTGGGTGGGCGGTTTGGTTTGGTTTTGGTAGCATTTTGCATTTTGTTTTTCGCCACTGGCACTTGGCAAGTTAAAGCATTAAGCTGATGCCAATTATGCATTGTTTGCCTGCTCCATTCCGTATTCCCCATTCCCCAGAAGTTTTCAGTTTTCAGGAGCGAATGTTAACCCTCTTCGGTTGGCTTGCTATCGCTGTTGGGCAAAATTGAAACAACTTTTGCAATTACTTTCCGTAAACAAAACAAATGTGCTCGAGTCACGCAATCGCCTCTGTCTGTCCCCAAAACAATAATTACCCAAGCATTGTTCATGCATACATTCATATAATGGTAATGACAATAACGAGGTTGAGCGGTTAACGGGGTGGAGGGAGGGGGGGTTGAAAAGGTTTAGTGGCAAGAGGGTAGAGGTGGAGGGATGACAGGTGGAGGCAAAGTTGCTTGTCTTGAACAAGTTGTTAAATTGTTATTTTAGCGCTTTGTTTTCCCTTCTTCACTTTCTGGCCGACGAATGATTAACAGAACCCAGGTACGTACAGTGAACGCCCACAAATAAAGAACCCTAATTGAAGTGTTTTCCACCCTTCAATCATGTCGAGTGGTGAGCGTTGAACGAAGGGGAATATGCAAATTGCTAATTTACATTCGAACAGTTGATGGCAAAATTATAGCACTGAACATGCAACCCAAAAATTGAAAAAAAATAATGGTACTCCAAAAATACAAAAGAATTATTTAATGGTCAAATTGCTAAAATTATGGTGCTAATTTACTAACGTTAAGAATATTTTGACTGGTATTTTCAGCATGCTATTACACCGACTTCTATTGTATTTGTGCACAGAAAATGCGTATATCGGATATATGCACTCACCCTTGCTAGCCCATTCCCCCCTCAATCCCCTTTCTCATTTGCATAACGTATTCAGACCGAGTGGTATGCAACAATTTTATTATTACGTTTATTTGACTTGCATATACGCATACACAAGCAGTTTTCCACAGGACATGCAGACAGACAGGACAAGCAGGATTGCAATTTCCATTGTCGGTTGCTGTTGTGAATGGCTCGTAAATCCTCACAGAAAACCGAGATACTCACGCATGCATATTCGCCCTCTGGCAATTCTATTAAATTTCAAAAACGACTACTGGCTCTTTCTCCATTTAATTACGCCCTGAAATAGACATGGAATTGTTTCAACTGGTCAGAAATTGGAGCCTGCAAAACACCTTCATTGTTATATCTGCTATCTGGATTGGTCCTCTACACTGCATCGACCCCATTTCGGACCACAATACACCCACTCGATAATTCAATTATGCATGCCATTTAATGTGTCAGGCTTGTATGTTCCTCTCTGTGGAGGGGATGAAGTCAACTAATTTCAATTTTCCATAAAGCGAACATTGTTCTAGGCCAAACCGCACCCAATCTAATCAATTTTGCATATACTGCACAAATTATATTTGTGTTTTGTCCACTCCATTTTGCAATTCAAATATTATTCTCGATTCGAGTGGTGTGCGTGTTATGTGGTTTTCTCTCCTTCCTGCAGATTACAACTCCCAGTCACGTATTGTGAAGTATGAGAATTCCGAAACCAAATTGAGAATGCCTTTTTATGGAAAATTCTTGGCGCTTTTTCCAGCTCTACAGGAGTCACTTGTGTGTGAGATGCCCTGATTTGGTTGGAATAGTTTTATTTAACTGGTTTTACTCATTCCGATTGAAAAGAGCTTTGCCACAAAATAAAAAGGATTTTGATTTAATGTTTTTGAGGAGATAAGAAACATTTTTTTCATATTAAAAGATGATGTAATGTAATAAAGATTCATTTCATAGGGGCCAATTCTATTTGATTGTGGCCTGCAAAAATGTTTTATTGAAAAACTTAAAAATTGGCTTAGTAATCCAACCAATTACTACAAATATTTTTATTGTGTGGCAGTTTGTCGAATTTATTTCGATCGATTAAGGCTAAATATTTTTTATATGCTCAAACATTTCAGCACTTGGCAGTTAAACAAAGTCTGGCAATGAATTAAGGCACCTAATATCAAATAAAGTACTATATTTATAAGTTGTATATTTTTGTTAGGAAATATTTTTCTATTTTTAGCACTGTTTTGGCTGCCTTTAACCAATTTAAGACCCATGGGGTTTTGTTCATCGAAATTACCGAGAAAATCACTTAGCTGTCAATGTTCCAATTAACATATTTCCCCGCTCATTTATTTAGCCAGCATTTGCATTTCATTGCCGACCGCCCACGCCTTAAACAGAAACAGAAACAGAAACCGAAACAAAAAAGAAACAAATAAAATGCCTTCACACACTTTTGAGTTCAATGTCTCTTGCCCAAAAATCGCGATAAATTTAAGCAAAGTCAGCGAGCAACTGACTGGGTGAAAAATAAAACGATTCTGTCATTTTGTCATTTTTTTGAATGAAGTCTAAATTTAAGTTAATGTTCGCACAATTTACAATTTTGTTCGACTTGCATGTAGATCACGTGGCGCAGCAGGGCGGAGTATTAAATTAATTAGTGGCCCCCACACAAATTGGAGGTGTAGCATTTCGAAACCAATAAATAATGTAAATTAATTAGAGTGGAGTTTTATTTTCGCACATATACATAGTACATACATACATACATGGATAGATCAACAATGCGACTGACTAGCGGACGAGCACCGCAATTTGCGCCCAATGCCCGGTAATTTAATTGAAAATGGCAACCCCCGGGCGGCCCAGACAAAGGCCGATAATACCCGTACTGTATCTGAAATCCGCCGGGCGGAGCAAGTTGTATTTGTTTTTGTTTTTGTTTTTGTTGCTCTTGCTACTGCCGTATGCGAATGGCACTTGGCACGTTCCGTGCCAGCGAAAAAAAAAAAAAATAAAATTCTCATAATAATTAAACGAAAAACGCGTTGATTGCATGCAATTTGCATTTTACGACTGGCGACGACGTGGGCAAACATGGCAATGAATGGGCAGGCACACCGGCCCAAGCTCTCCGTTTCGCGGCATATCAGATATGTAAAAGGCATCTACGAACCTGGCCCAGAGGTGTGTGCGTGATTGCATACTATACGTGACTGGTTTACCTGGCACTTTTTTCGACACTGTTTGACACTGGACAACTCTACATATCTTAAAATGTTGCCCAATTGATCGTTGGCCATTCGGTTGGGTAATTAGGTTGAGATATGATAAAAATCTTTGGCATAACATGTTCAGAAAGTGATCAACGTTGCATAAACTAAATATATGAGGGGTTATCAGCCATTGCTTATGAATTTTCAGTTAAGATCAAGGTTTTTAAAACATCGTTTAAATTTGAGGTCCATGTTATTAATATAACATAATAGTAAGTAAGCCGAAAATATATTTTTATATGCAATCAACTTTTACAACACGAAAAAAGCTATACAAATCTTAATTAAACATCTTATTTTTCAGAGATAATATTGAGAACTCATAACAAATATCTTTAGTTCTAATTAAATGTAAGTTTTTATGATTTGAAAATATTGACATCATTATAAAAATAAAATATTTAAAACATTTTTAATTGGCTCTAGTACATGTTAGTTGTTGGCTATAAACATTCTGAGATATATTTATAATTTAAACCCATTGTTCGTGAGTCACGCGACCATCGCCAGATGTTTTTCCCCAGCGTGCAGGGGTGCTTGTTAGGGCAGGTCCGAAAGCTGGCGTGGAAACGGCAGTAATTGAAACTCAATAAGCCAGGGCTATTATTATCAGGTTGGAGACTCCACACCTCAGTCCAGTGATAGGCAAACCCCCTTCTTAATTAACCCACAACAGCCCCCGGCATTTGATTGACAAACGATTCTGTTCGATTAGCCTAATGAGAAATGGCAGAACACTCGACATCAATATAGGTAAAATATCACAGAGCAAATATAAATTTCTATGTGATTTCAAAACCCAGTGCTATTACTCATTTAATATTGAAATCAGGGGAGCAAAATAAACTGTGCCTGCTTCCGTTTCTGATTTTGATTTTCCTTATAATTTATTCCGTTCCTGTCGTTGTTTTGTTTATAATAAATAAATAATCAAATGGGATTTCTCGCAGTTTTCATTTGCTGTGCTGCAAAACGAAAAGGAAAACAAACAGCAGCTGCTGGGAAAATCGCTTTTCAATCGTCACTTCCCGCAGAGAAGATCAAAAGCGGTTTTGTGGGTGGAAAATCAACACTCGGCCAACCATTTTGGCCTTAATCACGCATAATCCTTCGAAATAATAACGCAAATTCCCCAAAGATTTACTGGCATTAATTTGCCATCAATAGCCAACCAAACATTCAAATGCTTTGAAAATGAAATAAAGAAAAATTCTAAATGGTTGAATAATATATATTTTTCTGGGTAAACCTGTCAAGGGGCGTTCAAAATTTGAGCACATCTCTTTGGGAACTTTGCCAATTTCCCACCGAGAAATGAATAATGTATGTGGATTTTTAGCAAGCCAAGCAAATGTCATAATGATGTGTAATTATCGTTTTTCGCCTGATAGAGTAAAAATTATTTCGCGACATTATTTTACAATATTTCAAGAGTTCATTCACGGCAGTGGTATAATTTTATTTATTTGCTGTTAATTAATGTCAAGCATTTCAATAACCACAATCCACAAAGGAAAAGCGCACAATTGAAATTTATGAATGCCCCTGGGCGATGTTTTTGTTATTTTTATACCCTTGCAGAGGGTATTATAATTTTGGTCAGAAGTTTGTAACGCAGTGAAGGAGACGTTTCCGACCCCATAAAGTATATATATTCTTGATCAGGATCAATAGGGGAGTCGATATAGCCATGTCCGTCTGTCCGTCTGTCCGTCTGTCCGTCTGTCCGTCTGTCCGTCTGTCCGTCTGTTTCAATACCGTTTGTGAGCTCAGTTTAAAAGCTAGCGATCTGAAACTTTCACACGCGTCCTAAAACATGTGTACGCAGATCAAGTTTGAAAATCGCCCCGATCGGACGTCTATATCCTATAGCTCCCATAGGAACAATCGGATATATCTAGCAAAAATTGATGATATTTCGCGCAGTGTAAAAGCTATTGACATGAATTTTTCCAAATCGTATTTTTTTATGCATACCTTGATCAGGGTAAAAGCGCGTGGCAATCGGACGTCTATATCCTATAGCTCCCATAGGAAAAATAGGGTAAAATCGGTCCAAATTTTATGTTTTTCAGAATATTTCGCGCTGTGTAAAAGCTATTGCTATAAATTTTTTCAAATCGTATTTTTTTATACATTCCTTCATCAAGGTGAAAGCGCGTGCTGATCGGACGTCTATATCCTATAGCTCCCATAGGAACAATCGGATATAACTTTCAAGAATGGAAGATATTTTGTGCAGTGTAAAAGCTATTAACATAAATCTTTCCAAATCTTATTTTTTTATGCATACCTTGATCAGGGTAAAAGCGCTTGGCGATCGGACGTCTATAACCTATAGCTCCCATAGGAACAATAGGGGGAAATCTGTTAAAATTTAATGATTTTTAGGATATTTCCCGCAGTATTTAAGCTATTGACATGAATCTTTCCAAATCGTATTTTTTTATGCATACCTTGATTATGATAAAAGCACGTGACGATCGGACGTCTATATCCTACAGCTCCCATAGGAACAACAGGGTGAAATCGGTCCAAATTTGATGATTTTCTGAATTTTTCGCGTAGTGTGTAAGCTACTGACATAAATTTTTCCAAGTCTTATTTATTTACGCATATCTTGATTAGGGTAAAAGCGCTTGCCGATCGGACGTCTATTTCTTATAGCTTCCGTAGGAAAAATAGTTAAAGGCTGCGAAAGTATCCCTTTTTTTCTATTTTTATATGACATTTTTGCAGTATAAAAGCAATTGACATTAAACGATGAAAATCTAGTTTATTTATGTATACCTTATTCCTTTGGCTACTTTTTCAGTTTTAGCAATTTCGGCAAAGTCTGCAAGGGTATTAAAACTTCGGCTTGCCGAAGTTAGCTTCCGTCCTCGTTTTGTTTTCTTTTTTGTACGCTGTTAATTTTTATGTTGCTGCTCGCGAGCTGTTTCATGCTTCACGGTGCATGAAATGCAACAGCAACCGAAACGGCAACAACTACAATAAATTTGTTAAATGAAATGCCTGTTGTTGTAAATCATCAATGCAAATGCTGTTCAAACAATAGGCGCCAATGCAGGAAATTTCCCGAGTTTACTGTTTTTTTTTTTCATTTGATTTTTTTGCTTTTTAATTTGCTTTATTCAAATGAACGTGATGCTGGCATGGTTGTTTGTTGGCCACCACCGAGTGTATCACCTCAATTTGTGGGCGCAATGCCACGCCCCTTCGTCCTGCCTGCGGTTTCTGGCCATTGCGTGCCAAAGTTTCCACCTTTTGCGATGGCCAATGTCCTCACCGCACATCAACAACAACATGAGCCACAGTCTGAGTGCAATTAAAGGATGCATCAACCAAAAACGACTAAAAGTTACTCTCATAAACTTTATTCAATAAGTTTAAGGTAAATACTGCATTAAAAGCGTTTTTTAACATTTAAAAATCGTATAATATTCCACCATATTTTATTTGTAAGCAAGTATTTGCGGTTAATTAAGTCAAAGTTTTTTATACTTTGGCTTATTGAGTAAACCCAATTTTAAATGTAGTTTTTATATGAAATTCATAAAACTCAATGGCAGTTTCTGTTATATAAATATGAGATAAATAATTTAAATATATATGGATTTGTTAAATCAACAAAAAAAGTTTTATTTATGTATAAAGGCTAGATTTTGCTGTTTTTATTTGGAACACATAAATAAATAATTCCAGCATCGAAATAAAAACCTCTTGACAAATGCAGGGTAAAACAAAAACTTACCATAATGGCCAGCATGTTTGCATTGTGTGCAATTAACGTTGCAGAAACAACAGCAGCAAAAACCAAATGAAAAACAAGAAAGAACGCTATAGTCGGGTGCCCCGACTATCAGATACCCGTTACTCAGGTAAAGGGAGTGCGAGGGAGATGGAGATAGAAACTTTGATCACGCATAACTTTTTAACGAATGGTCCGATTTGAAAAATTTCTTCTACATTTCGATAGGTATTGAAAAACACAATAAAACCGCATTTTTACTTTTCCGAAATATTTAAATTTTTTATAAGCGATTGTGGGCGTTAAAGGGGGCGTGGCACCATTTTGAAACAAACTTGCGCTGCGTAGGAACTTCTAACATCTACATGCAAAATGCCAATCTTCTAGCTTTTATAGTTTCCGAGATCTCAGCGTTCATACGGACAGACAGACAGACAGACGGACGGACAGACAGACGGACAGACGGACATGGCTAGATCGACTCGGCTACTGATCCTGATCAAGAATATATATACTTTATAGGGTCGGAAACGCTTCCTTCTACCTGTTACATACTTTTGCACGAATACAATATACCCTTTTACTCTACGAGTAACGGGTATAATCAGCCAACAAATCAAATATGCACGAAAACAATAATCAATGC